CGTCAGACATGGCTTTGTCCGACGTAAATTTACGTCGGGCCTTGCAATGGCCGACGTAAATTTACGTCGGACCATGTCCGACGTAAAATTGTGGCATGTTTTTTGTCCCTTTTTACGTCGGTCTGTGAGAATCCCCGACGTAAATTTACGTCGCCTTTCAGAGGCGACGTAAATTTACGTCTCCCGTATTAACGTCGGAACCTTTTCCGACGTAAAAGGCTCAAAATAGGCGACGTAAAAGACCCTTTGTGTACTAGTGAAAAGACGTTCAAGAGTTGTGAGTTCACAGGAGAAGGAATAAAAGTGAAAGGCTTTTGTGAAGGACTCGTAATATTAGAATTCTCTCTTATTACATATAAATTTTCATGCAGATTTTCCATAAAGATTTGCGAGAAACATGTCTACTGTAAATTTTTCTAGAAAATTTTATCCTCGGGTAACTTCTTGGTGGATAATTTATTTTCATAAATTTTAAAATCGATATAAAATTTTCCGGTAAAAAAATATCTATAAGAAGTTTCTTATAGATTTTTTTGCCAAAATTTTTGTAAGACTATAGATTTTTTCGCCAAAAATTCTGTAAGACAATTTCTTGCAAAAAAAAAAATAGAAGTTATGACAAAAAGTTTCCTATGAATTATTTATTAGTAAGAATCTTTCTTGTAAATTTAAATCTATAAGTAATTTTTGTGCATTATTTTTCTAAATTTCTAGTGAATTTCAAATTCACAAGAAATTCTACCATAATTGTGAGTTTTAAATTACTATTAATAATTCTTCAGTCATTTTCTTTTAAATGCTCCATTTGATTCATAATCTCGTGAACTCTTATATCGTGAATTACCCTATAAAATCGTCTTAGATTTATTCTAATATGAACCACTTTACCTACACAAACTCATCAATTAATTTATGCTACAATTCATCATACCTTGTTGTCTTTTATGGTATCTTGCTTTTTATATCAAGCTCGTTAATTTGTAAGTTAGGTCCTTATTAATTTCCAAATAACTTTTGTTATTTTTATATTTGATTATAGGTAAATTACATCTAATGTAATGACCTGTCATGATCACTATACTATGTGGAATCATTACTAGTAGTGAAAACTATAGTTTACCAGAATTATAAAAGTTTAACTAAATATATGAACATATATATAATATGAATATAAAAGTGCAACCATCGTACTGATATAAAATTATATACATGTATATACAATAGTCTCAAAGGTAAACTATATAACTTAGTATCGATTGAACACATCTATACAAGTTACATAAAGTAACACTGACATCAACAAAAGGGTCCTTCCACCTGACTACAATTACTCCTCCAGCCTAGTCTTGATCTGCTCTCATATAACGTATAATCATCATAGTCCAAATCACATGAAAAAAGGGTAAGTTAGAGTTTGAAAACATGTAAGCATAAAAAACAATTATATATCATACAACATTATACCAAATATATATATATATATATATATATATATAAGGTCCTAAAAGAAACTTAACTATCTACTTCAAAAGTTAACTACTCAACAAATCAATAACTTTATATATAAATATAGAGAGAGAGAGAGAAAGAGAGAGAGAGGAGGGTTCAAATGATACCAGTGTAACTTTTACTAAGTGTTACGCCACTCAATAACTTTATATTAATTTTGAATTTTGAAAATTCAACCGTTAGATTGAAAGTTCATATCTCTTAGATCATATATATCAAATTTTGTTAAATTTGAACAACTTGAAGGTAATCAAAGTGTTCATATTTTAATATATTTTAAAATGAATATATTACGTCAATTTTATTTTATGAGAATGAAGTATCAAATCATCTTGGATTAATATAAAATTTTGTATATATGATCTAAGAGATATGAACTTTTATCTAACGGTTGAATTTTTAAAATTCAAAATTAATATAAAGTTGTTGAGTAACGTAACACTTAGTAAAAGTTACACCGGTATCGCTTGAACCCTCCTCATATATATATATATATATATATGAAAGCTAAATACTCAAAAGTTAACATATATCTCATCTAACCATGTTAGTAAGACATCCAACAATGCATATGAACACACCACAACATACATCATATGAATACACCTCAAATAATGTTTTATTATGAATTCACCTATGGAAATATCCTAACCATGAGCAATCTAAGCGACTCTACCCTACTGAATCAACCAAATCATTTTCGTACTCAAAGCATTAACTCAATCACAATAAAATTGGATAACAATTTCTCCTCTGACTTCTCATGTTTTATCATTTACACTAGAAAAGTCTGATTCCACCATTAGGAATAGTACAACTAGGTATAAGCTTACCATGACTTTGACATGTATTACGAAGTCAAATATAAAATTCTCTCACTAATTATCTTTAAGGAACCATACAATCTTTCCAAGTATTTGGTTAAGGTTTGTAACTCTCAACTTCGTATCTTACTCAACAACTAACTAAGGACTTAGAGACGATCTAACACATCTCAACATCCACTCCAAGAGACACACTATTCATGGAGGGTTTTCTAATAGTGGTCTACTCGAGCACCACTCCAAGACTCCCTATATGAGATCTTCAGATTTCAAAAATAATTTCCTCTCCTCAAGTCCTAAATTAGTCAATCATGTCTTAATGACATATTACATTCTCAACATTTTCACCTCAATATACATCAGACATATATATCACATCCAATCAATTCATATAGAGATCAACAACATCATTAATAAATGACATATCAATGCTCTTTGAAAATCATATATCATACAAGTATCTATCTATTTATATATATATATATATATATATATATAAATATATATATATATATATCATTAAATATAAATAGAACTACAATTCTCATACACCATATTAGATGCAATAGAATAAAATAATTAACTAATGTTTATCATATAAACACACCAAAGTATCAACATATCACCTAAACATCCCGCGCCCAACACAACATAACTCGTACTTGGTGCCATTGAGGAAGGGAACTTCTACCTTGCTCACGCTCAACGCCATTTTATCTGTGCCTAGGGTGACCAAGGTGGAGACCCCCTAAGACTTCACGCTTGGCGTGGCAAAACCCATGCACAACCTCATATTAAGCAGTGAGTCTTTACCCGACTGACACTTGATGTCACCTCAGTGGCACTCAACATCATTCAGGGTAGGGAGCCTTTTCCTTGATCACCCATGGCACCACCAATTGGGGCCAACGACGTCATGAAGTTAGAGGCTGTCCCATGCTCTCATGTCCGATGCCATCCTAATCCAAAACAAGTCTCTTTTCCCATGCTTGGTGTCACCGATCTTGGGCCTGATATGAATGAGACAAAAATTCCTAATTGAAATTGCACCTACCGTGACATGTCCAACATGATATAAAAAATCTACACTCGTAGATCACAAAAATTCCCTTAATCCACCTCAAATCCAGAATTCTCCAACATGTAAAAAAATATATTTCAACAAGTAACATACATTAAAAATCCTTTTTTCTTCACCATTTAATCTAACTTCAACCATATACATACTCACATTGGAAACTATCATTAAATTAAAATTCGTCTCTCATTATCATTAATTTATATATTTAATTAAAATAAATATTTAATTTACTCATTTTAAATTATTTAAAAATTAATTTTAATGAAATATTTATAAATAATTTAGTAAATAGTATTTTGTTAAATAAAATGTTTTTAATTTTTAAACTTATAATTTTTTTAAACAAAGTTTTTATTTTTTCGTGGATTAAAATTACATCCAATATTTTCTTACCAGTTTTTCATGGATCAATTTATAAAATTGTTTTACAGAATATTACTTCTTGCGAATTTGTTGCTGAAAAAAAAAATCACAGAAAATTGTTGCAGATATCCTCCTCCCTATATATATGTAAACAAAACCTTAATGTTTTAAAATTAAAAAAATATACTATAAATTATCTAACTTACCCAAAACTAGTTTCATTTATTTTTCATTAAAAATGTATTTAAAGAAAACCTTATGTTTTAAAAATAGTCAAACTTGATTTATTTGATTTGTTAAATTGTTGAACTTTTAGCTTGTCCAGTAAAAGTAAATATATATAGATCATTAGATATGAAAAATCCTCACGAAAGAAACTGAAAATAAATGTGAAAGGATATGAAGAGTTTTAAAAAACATAAAATTATTCTAATTTATAATCCAATTTAGACTACTGTAAGCCTAGATCCTTCGAGTCTGGAAGAAGTTTAATTTCTTCTTTTAATAGGAAATTGCAATTAAAAATACTAACTCCAATTAGAAATACTAATTTTATGTATAAGATGATAGGGCCGATAATTATACCAACAGGAAAAGTAAAAAAAAGCCTCAAATTTTCACAACAGTAAAATATTTCTGTACATCTTTTGTTTTCAGATCTTCTTAATAAATTCAATTTTGATTTGATAGAGATATTCAATTCTTTAAAACACACTAGTATGTTATCTGTAATGATTAAATAAATTCAATCACATAATTTAAACATTTAAATCCTATAATTTCATATTTGTTTTATAAAATACTTTCATATAAATTATTTAATATAAAATAAAATATTTTTGTTCAAAGAAAAATTATACACGATAAACAGACATATTAACACACACTTTACATAACAACATGATAATGTCATAATACAAACACAGACTGTTTTTATTATACATACAAACACAACTTCTATGAAGTACACTGATCGATTTGAAAAATTATTACAGACGTTATAAAAATAAAAATAAAAAAGAACAAATTATTATGCAGACTCAAACATTCATCCCAACTTTCTTCCAACAAAGAAGAAAACACAGACAAACAAAGATATACACAAAGATCCAAAGCAAATATTCCTTGAAACTCATTCTTCAATTTGATGACTCCTGCAGTCTTCTTCCACCTGAACCTTGGTTAACCTGTTGCACTTCCGCCTCATAATTCGAAGAGGAATCTTCGCCACATGCAACCACAACAAAATAACCACAAATTCAACATTATACAAACAAAACAAGTGTGTTCATCTTGAACTAAACAAATAAAAAGCATGAATTTGATTACCTTTTGATGGTTGAGTCTCCCCAGTTAACAAAGACCCCACCATCCCCTTAAGCTTATCAACCACACCTGTCCCAGGGCTATTCACATACATCTCCTCGTACCTTTTCTCCGTCTTTAAATCTTCACTCCCCAACCTCCTCTTCACTTCTTCTGACTCCGTCACCTTCCCAAGTACCCTACCACGCTCCACTCTTCTCTCAGGTTCATCCTCTCTCTTATGCACCGCATCAGAAACCACCTTCCTCGCACCTTCCCCAGTAGTACCCTCCACTGGCTCCCGCTCCTCCTTATGCAGAGTCTCTGATATCACTTCAGAGAGAGCCTTATCGTCTACACCAGGCCTCAGTTTTTCCACCAAATACTCCTTCACAGAAACACCCTTGTCTTGTTCCACTTTGGACCTCGCATCCACACCAGCAACAGCAAGTTTATCTGTCAGAGATTCAGCAACA